CTTACAAACCAGGAGGGGTGATGCGTTCCCAGATCCATCCCAGAGCAGAGGGAGAGGGTATTCTCAGACAGGCAAATGCGAGCTTGGTCAAAGAGGCAAGAGCTTGAGGGGCTTCTTGATGGAGGAGAGAGGGTGCGGAGGGAGAGAGAGAGACTCAGAGACAGAGAGAGTGACAGAGAGAGGGAGAGAGAAACAGAGATAGTGGCAGAAGAGAGAGAGACAGAGAGAGTGCGCAAGGCAGAGAGAGAGCGAGAGACTCAGAGAGAGAGAGACACAGAGAGAGAGAGAGAGACAGAGGCAGAAGAGAGAGAGACAGAGGCAGAGAGAGAAAGAGAGAGGGAGGGAATCTGAGAAAACGGGTCAAAGAGAGAGAGAAAGTCAGAGAGGCAGGAGAGACAGAGAGGGGAGTCAGAGAGGGAGAGAGTCAGAATGAGGGAGTTAGAGAGAGAGAGAAAGAGAGAAAGACAGAGAGGGAGTCAGAGAGAATCGAAGAGCGGGAGAGATAGAGGGAGTCAGAGAGAGAGATAGAGAGACTCAGAGACAGGGAGTCAGAGAGAGACAGAGAGAGAAAAACAGAGAGAGAGAAAGCGAGACAGAGTGAGAGAGGCAGAATAGAGAGAGAGAAAGGCAGAGAGGGGAGTCAGAGAGGGAGAGGGAGTAAGACAGAAAAAGGGATAGGGAGACAGAGAGGACAGACTGAGGGGGAGAAAATGAGAGAGGGAGAGACAGTGAGAGGGAGTCAGAGACAGAGACACAGAGTCAGAGAGAGGCAGTCAGACAGATAGAGAAAGACAGAGAGAGGGAATCAGATAGATAGAAAAAGACAGACAAAGGGAGAGAGAAAGACAGACAGAGAGGAAGTCAGAAAGAGGGAGACAGAGAAGGTAAGACAAAGAGACAGAGAGAGCGAGAGAGAAGGAGAGCACAAACTGAGGGAGAGGGAGAGGGAGGAGGACGGGGATAGACTGAGGGAGAGACAGAAAGAGACGGAGAGCGAGGGAGGACAAAGGAAGGAGAGAGAGAGAGTGAAAGAGTGGCTGGGGAGAGTTGAAGGACAGACTTCCTGGTCTCAGGCACCTGAAATGGCCGGGAGATGGAAATTAGGAGAGGTCTGACAGGGTAGAATCTGAGGAGTACAGAGATCCCAGTGGGATGGAGGGGGTGACAGAGATAGGGAGGAAGGGGTTGCATGGGCCATGGAAGGATTTCAACAAGGATATAGAAATCAAGCTCCATAATCCGGGCCGACACTCCCTCCCTCCCTCCCTCCCGGTGCCAGTACTGAGGGAGCACCGCGCTGTCGGAGGGAGATGGATATACTCTAGGGGGGACTCGAGCCCCATAATCCAGGCCGACACTCCCTCCCTCCCTCCCGGTGCCAGTACTGAGGGAGCGCCGCACTGTCGGAGGGAGATGGATATACTCTAGGGGGGACTCGAGCCCCATA